TATATGTGACCCTGGAGCACAAAAGCAGTCTTAAGTCGCTGGGGTATATTTGTAGCAATAGCCAACAATACATTGTATGGGTCAAAATGATTGATTTTTCTTTTATGCCAACAATTATTAGGATATTAGGTAAAGATCATGTTCCATAGGATATTTTGTAAATTTCCTACTGTAAATATATTAAAACTTAATTTTTGATTAGTAATATGCATTGCTAAGAACTTCATTTGAACAACTTTAAAGATGATTTTCTCAATATTTAGATTTTTTTGCACCCTCAGATTCCAGATTTTCAAATAGTTGTATCTCAGCCAAATATTGTCCTATCCTAACAGACCATACATCAATGGAAATATTATTTATTCAGCTTTCAGATAATGCATAAATCTCAATTTCAAAAAATTGACCCTTATGACTGATTTTGTGGTCCAGGGTCACAAATATCAGCATCTGCATCAAATTCATATTTTTGCTCAGTTTGGGCCTCTGATTGAAACTGAGCTGTTTTTTCCTCCATATTCTCACTGTTTCATACTATTGCCCTGCTGACAAGCTTTTGAACCCCTAAAGGTAATTTTTGCAGAGGGACTGCAGGGAACAACGGAAACATTACATTTCTAGAATGTAAAATATGGAGCACCACACCTCAACGCCTGCAACAGAAGAATGCTCAAAATATCAAACTAAATGAATCTCCCTGCTCTCTCCCTCTCTCTCTCTCTCTCTGTCATTACACTCAAACCATTCTCTGCTCAAACATAAATAAGCCTAGAGGCTGTTCTTGTTGCGTGCAAGCAAATCAACGTCAAGCAATCGGTAAAACATGGAAAACAATCCATCAGAGCGTACTTTTTACATCTGTTCATCAGCAGTGACCAGGATAAAGTCAGACCTGATCGGACTGGGCTATTCATTGGCGGCGTTGTGGAATTACCTATTGATTTTCCTCCTCAAGCATTCTGAAATTAGTTTTTTTTTTCTGACAGAGGTATTACAGACACAAAGCCTGAACGTGCATAATAGCCACAAAGCTGCTTTTCTCTTTCAAGCTCCATTTACATTACCATTCAAAAGTTTGGGCTTTAAAGAAATTAATGATTTTATTTGACAAGGACGCACTAAATTGATCAAAAGTGACAGTAAAGACATTTATAATGTTACAAAAGATTTCTTTTTCAAATAAATGCTGTTCTTTTGAACTTTCTATTCATCAAAGAATCCTGAAAAATAAAATGTATCATGGTCTCCACAAAAGCATACAGCAGCATAATTAACATTGATAATAATCAGAAATGTTTCTTGAGCAGCAAATCAGAATATTAGAATGGTTTCTAAAAGATCATGTGACACTGAAGACTGGAGTAATGATGCTGAAAATTCAGCTTTGATCACAGCAATCAATTACATTCTACAATATACATATATATATATCAGACATGCTTTTTAAACAGACACACAGACACACTTAAACTATTTGCAAATGTGTCGGAACACATGATATGTCGTGTCTTTCATCTGCAGACCATATGAACTGAACAATCACAGTAAATAAATTTGACTTTGTGACTGTACAACCCTCATGCGTCTGCATCAGCATCACATCCAGAGCTCAGTGCCACAGTAACCGAGTATTGATTTTGATAAGAGGAAAAGCCTCATGATGGATCACACATGTGAGCATATTCTGACTGCTGCTTTCAAACACTTTCTCCGGGGATTTCTGAGGATGTTGGATTTCTGTGAGACTACAAAGCTCTCTGACAGCACATCAAACTGCTCATGTTATGCAGAAACCCTCTGAAAAGACCAGCTTAGGCCAGCCTGAATTTCCATGCAGGTCCAGAGCTGTTTAGTGCAGCAAAGCAGATTACCAGGAAAGTCTTATAGTTGAAGCTTGCAGTTATGAAGACTGCTGTCCTCAGCACATGCAGGTTTTTGTTATAGTTAATATGGTCAAATTAACCCATGTAAAAATACACTATTCTGGAGGAAGGTCACATATGTCCATAGAATCCTGCTCCAGCTGAGAAACTACCATTGATCTGTAGCAAACAATAACAGATGATCTTCTCAGGGTAGTGGTGGCCAGCTGTGCTGGTCTTTTCAGCGCGGATGGAGAAACACCTCCATTTCTTAACATTTCCAAACTCTTTCTGTCTCATCAATCAGTGCATCCAGAGAATACTGACTCTGCATTTAGTCCACTATTCCTGGTCTACCTTTTCTAAAAGTACTCCCAACATCCGGTTTTAGCTGCCACACACACACACACACACCTGGTGATCACACACATTCCCCATTGTGTTCGAATATAGAGAATGGCATGTGAGTCGACTTACACACTCAACAGCGACTGTAAAAAATGTAAGATGAAAGATGCTTCACACAGGCTTTTTTCTTCTTCTTTTTTTCAGAAATGAAACAATATGGATCTTAACAAAGCATTTAAAGCAGCGTGATATTAAAAGGCCACTCCACGGTCCCTGTATTGATGCTCACAAATTGATTTTACTCAAGGGTTCTCAGTAAAGAAAGCTTGTGTTAGAAAGCTGAAAGTAGACCACTGCTCATGTGTCAGAAGAGAGGGTAAGCGGTTAGAGAGCGTGAGAACTTTCATCAACATATTGACCGTTATTTTCACTGAAGGACATTGCATCTTCTGCAAAACAGATTGTGAAAACAATAAAAAATAAAGTCTGAAGTGTATATAAGTTTGAAATGTATATAATTGAAATAGATAACAGCATGAATTCTGGTAGTATCACTCAGTTTAGCTGTCTTGCAATCACACATTATAATGATAAAAGTAGATTACAAAAGTAATTATAAAAGTAAAATGAATAACAGGACATTTGTGGCTTCAATGTAACAGGGCTGAAGATCAGTGCAAATGACTAACAACTAGGACATTTCATTGCACCACATTATTCTCTGTCAATAATCCTATGACTTGCGCTGAGACAAAAATGTTACCATGATTTTTTTTTCTATAACAGAGTTGAACTATTGAGCCATTATAAGAATAAATGTAATGAAATACTGATAAAGATAGTAAGGTAAAATATCTCTGTTTGAGTCATGTCCTCAAAAAATAAGTCATAATTATAAAATTGATATTTTTAATGGGAAAATGTCACGTAACAGGGTTGAGCAGAAAGTGCAGAGACAAAGGCATAATAATGTTGCTATAATGGGGACATGCAAATGGTTAAACTCAATGAAAAACAGATTTTAAATCAAAATGAACAAAATAATTATGTTCCACTAAACAATGAACAGGGTCGAGTCGATGCAGTAATGCTGTTGCTATCTTGTTAGTTATATTGTATTAAGTCTCGGAGACTCAAAACATATATGGCATCGTTTGAATTCTGGCAGTGGACCGTAGTACAACAAAGCCATTTATTTCACTAGGAAACAAAAATGACATACAGTCTATATTTCAGGCGAGTAAATCGCCGCATGAATTCGGAGAGCGCGTAATGCGCGCGCTCCCTCTCTCACACACACACACACACACACAGTAGGTCCACTGACCTCTCTGCGGAGCTCCACAACACCGCCACAGCAGCCCGATGAGCACGAGAAAACACGGTCTGTCCATGTCCCGATCTGCCTCTTCTTCATGTGCGCTCGGAGGAACAGCAGACGCAGTCCAGGACCGGTCAGAAACTCCACGAGCGACTTTAGGAAGTTTGGGACGCTCGTCTGGCACAGCCCTCCAATCCCCGGCGCTTTGAGGAGGGGGTGTCCCGAGATCACATTTCCTCTGTAGGAAAACTTTAAAGCATCTTCTCCCTGCAGAAATAGTGTAAAATACTGAAACATTCTGTAATTACAACTCCATAAAAAATAAAAAAAAAAGTTGCTCAAATTATTTTACTAAAAAAAAATATTGGATATGTTAGACAAACTACAATTGACCTCACTTTTGGATAAATCTGCATCCATGTTACCCATTCTGGCATGGATTTTGTTAGTTATTATTATTTATTAAATTAATTTGATGCTAAAATAAAAATCACAATACAGGTATTTAAACCATACGAAACGTAACACGTCTGTAAAACTTCATATAAAATAAATACAATTATACATTTTGTTAAAAGACAATGGTTTGATATTTGGTCATTTTATTGTTTTGTTATTAAATAAAAATAAAACAATTGAATAGACTTACCAAAGACCAAAAACTTGAAATGTAGTGAAAACAATGTGCATAGACTACTTTTATGATAATTAAGTATATGCTGCTTTTTGAAGCTTGAAAGGTCCAGTGCCAGTTCCTTGTTATTTTATGAGAAAGAGTTACCTGTACTTCAGAATATTTTCTTTTGTGTTCCACAGATGAAAGAAAGTCATAGAGGTTTAGAATGACATAAGGGTGAGGAAAAGATTAAACATCACCACACAAACTGGAACTAACAGAGATGAGAAGACAGCAAAAAAGCAAAAATATAATCAGCAAACAGCAAAGTTCAAATCATATTTTTTTGGCTTAAAAAACTTTTCCATATGAGGTTGTTTGCTGAGACTCTGATAAGCTAGTTGGGACAATGTTTGGAGGAATAACACGCTGTAACGTGTGTTTTATGTATATTCAGTCTAATTTACTGTTCTCAGTAAGAGTGAGTCAAAAACACTGGATAAAATGTCCTTTCTTTTCCTCGGGGTGAGTTAGGTATGGATGAGAGCTGAGCTCTGGAGTTTCTGGACTTCCTCTGCACCCTCTAGTGTTGGACTCACACATTTGGTCTCATCTGTATTCACCAAAAGCAGACTGTCCTCATTCTGACAAAATGGAAAGCAAAACATTTTCTAAACAAACATCCATAGACAAACACACATTTTCAAGTGATTATAATGTTACAGTTCATCGGCCTGTCAGTCCTCCACACTTTTGTGTTGCTGTAGCCCAATTTAAAATGCATGCACAGCCAGTTTTTCCTCACAGGTGTGATAGCCCGGATCTCCGTTATGCGTTTGCAGTGCTCAGACTGACACCGGACAGTATGACTTTTCTGATGGATGTCAGTGAGTTTGGCTGGATCGAGCCACTCCACGTGAGGTAAAGGTGTGAAAGCGTAGCAGTTCTGTGCACTCTTTCCACATTCAGTGTCTGAGCAATGTCACATTTTCAGCTTTCTTGGGTGAAGACCTGTGCGGAGGCTCTCTGGATGAAACGCTTCCATGCGGGCGCTGAGGAGAACCAAGGTCTGGTGGTGAGGGATGAGCTGGCTCACACGTATGGAGACGTTTGCAGGTGTGACTCTCAGGCTTCCAGTCCTGAAAATCCGGCTGCATTTCGCTCAGACGGTTCCTGTGAGGATGGCGCTCACAGCACACGGCCGAAAATCACAACTTGGGAGGCGGGTTGGAACGTCACCAATGCCATACAGGTGAGCGCACAAACACCTTCATCACACATGTGCTTTGAGTGTATTTTCATTCAGAACTATAAATGTAGGAAATGCAAAGTAAAAAAAAAAGTTCTAGGAAAAAGTGCAATGCTAATGTGCAGCTGGCCACAGGTACTGTACACACAACACAACACACGGGGGATTCACTAAAACTGAATTACGCTCGCTCGTAGTGTCACTTATTTACACATGCTGTCTGTGTTGTTTTAGCTCCTGATTCAGAAAATAAATTATGTAAATCAGATTACGGTGTAAACACTGCCAAAAAAAAGTTAGGATGATCTGTTGTGTTGTGGAGGATGCAGCAGACCAACTTACTGCATTACTGCATGGCCAGCATCCAATCACTTAAATGTATACATGCATGTGTGTGTATTTATATATACTTTATAAATATACACAGTACATACACGTATACTATGTAAACAAAAACTTTTATTTTGGATGCGATTAATTGCGATTAATCGTTTGACAGCACTAATATATATATATAACATGTATATATAACAATTTTATAACTTTTTTTTCAATCAGTATTTCAGACTTTTAACAATAAAAAAATCTAAACATCTTTAAAAGAAGTATTTACTTGTGGAGCACCTATCTAAGATAACAATATTTAATATTTTCAGAGAATGTAACATGAATTACATTTTTATACCAAATATGCAAAAAAAATTCTTGTTTTAAGCATGAACCTCACAACATTTTTTTAGCTTTTTTTTTTTTTTTAAAGTAACCCTATTTCAATAGTCCACTTTAGACATTCTGATAACTATAAGTAACTTTTTTTTTGTCATTTGAGTATTAGTAGACTGTCTGCTTAATATCTGCTAGCACTTTATTTTGATAGTCCAACAACAGACATTCTTCTGACTAAATTTGCAAGTTCAAGTCAATTTGTTCTACTAATCCTTACCCAACCTAATAGACTACTAATACTCTAATAAGAGTTTGATGACATGTAGTTGCAAAGTTACTTATAGTTACTTTGAACGTATGAGGTGGACAATCAAAATAAAGCGTAAACAATATATCTAGAATTAGATTTGCATATGGTGGTTAGTCATGCATGTTTTTTTTGTGCTGAAATGCTGCACTCAGTAGTGTGAAGAATTCACCCTGGTGCTGCCTGTTATGCTCCTAAATTAAAACGTTTAGTAAAAGATCATCAGCCAATTTCCTAACCTCAGATTCTGCATGCTTAGAATGATTGCACGAGTGTTTGTGCGTGTTTGAATATCCCTTATTTACTTTATAGCAGCATAAATCCTTGTTTATGTGAATGACACCCCATTACCTCATCTGTTCATTCCCATTTGAGGCTGAGGGTAATATTTAGAGCTGTTAATGATCACACAGCTCGTTACTGCTGCTTGAGCTTGTTTAATTCATCCTTCTGCTTTACTTTATAGCGTAATGTGCCTCTCTTTCCCTCTTCACCCATCAGTCTCACACGCACCTGTCTTACTCTCTGTGAATCTGTCTTTCCTCTGTAGTGAGTTGTCTTGCTCTATATAAATTATGTAAATCAGATTACGGTGTAAACACTGCCAAAAAAAAGTTAGGATGATCTGTTGTGTTGTGGAGGATGCAGCAGACCAACTTACTGCATTACTGCATGGCCAGCATCCAATCAGCTCTTTATAAAATTCAGAAAATCTGCTCAATGGCACCCCACATCTGAATATATAACATTTTCATATATACATTACCTCATCTGTTCATTCCCATTTGAGGCTGAGGGTAATATTTAGAGCTGTTAATGATCACACAGCTCGTTACTGCTGCTTGAGCTTGTTTAATTCATCCTTCTGCTTTACTTTATAGCGTAATGTGCCTCTCTTTCCCTCTTCACCCATCAGTCTCACACGCACCTGTCTTACTCTCTGTGAATCTGTCTTTCCTCTGTAGTGAGTTGTCTTGCTCTATGCTGTCTACATAGGCAGTCGTCTTCTAAGGCATCATTCCAGTGAATGTCATACACAGCTCATTTCAGCTCTGTCTCAGGATACCTGAGTGTCACATGACATTTAGGGTTCAGGTAATTGGATTAAAAAAAAAATGTCCAGAATTGAGTGCCTATGAGCAAAAATGGCAGCATGCAGGTCACAAACGTTTGTCAGTTTGAATGAGTTAAAGCCCTGATATACTTCAAGTAAAATCTAACGTCATTTCGAACAAATTCAGGGCAAAACAAGGTTTAGTGGAGTTCGAAACGACCTGTCAAAGCAAACTTTCTGGAAGAATATTTAGAGCTGTTAATGATCACACAGCTCGTTACTGCTGCTTGAGCTTGTTTAATTCATCCTTCTGCTTTACTTTATAGCGTAATGTGCCTCTCTTTCCCTCTTCACCCATCAGTCTCACACGCACCTGTCTTACTCTCTGTGAATCTGTCTTTCCTCTGTAGTGAGTTGTCTTGCTCTATGCTGTCTACATAGGCAGTCGTCTTCTAAGGCATCATTCCAGTGAACGTCATACACAGCTCATTTCAGCTCTGTCTGTTCATTTCTTCTTTTCAGTCTGTCGAGGTCAGATGCAAAAATGGCAGCATGCAGGTCACAAACGTTTGTCAGTTTGAATGAGTTAAAGCCCTGATATACTTCAAGTAAAATCTAACGTCATTTCGAACAAATTCAGGGCAAAACAAGGTTTAGTGGAGTTCGAAACGACCTGTCAAAGCAAACTTTCTGGAAGAGTTTGCTCCGGCTGTTAAACACCTCTGAACTATCATTGGTCTGTGGTGATGATGTAATAGGTGGGTGTGGCTCTGGGCTCCGCCTTTTTTGAGTGGAAATCTTCTCTGGTTCATTTCTTCTTTTCAGTCTGTCGAGGTCAGATGCATGAACACACTGCAGAGCTGCTTTATAGTAGAACTTTGAGTTGTAATTCTAATCGAAAGCGACACTGATGCTGTTTTGTCATGTATTCATACTGTAAAGCTCTATTCTATAAGCATGGTTGCGGTCAGGATGTTCACTAATGGTATATCAAACTTCTTTTTACGCCTGTAGAACTTCTCTGGTAGTTTATCATGGCCTTAACTGCCACTGTGATGATGCATGATTTTTGTCCATATCCACAAATCCCACCCTGCAGCAGATTTCATGTGTAAATAAAGGCTCAGACTTAATGGATTCACTTCAGAAAAATCGTGGAAGGATCCAGTTATGATAAACTGTAATGCTCAATCAGATGTGCTACACTGAGGTTAAGGTTAGGGTTAAGGGTCAGTGTTTTTTTAGAGGGAAAAGAAATCTCGTTGAGATGAATGGGAATGCTAATGGATAGCTCTCTGCAGGAATTATAGAGCTCCTTGTGCTTGACATTAACATATGTTGCTAAGCTAACGACATGTTTCTGTAATGAGCATTAAAATTACATAACACACAAATATTGGGTGAAATAGTTCATTTTTAGTTGATTTCACTTGATAATTATTGAATTAAATACATTTTTATTTTTGACCCTATTTCTTTTGACCCCATCTGCCGTCTTTTCACAGCGCTCGCCGCAAAGCTTTCTGGGATTGCCTTA